GAAGGCGAGGAGCTCTGGCAAAGTGGGAGCTTTATCGAAAGCTCAATGGCGGGGTCTCTTTGACTTTTGGTGGTGGGGTAATGAGCACGCTTGTCGGTATGAAGATACCACGACAGCTCTTCCAGCTCACGAATGGCTGCGATATCACCCTAGAGCACAAAGAATCGGAGGCAGAGGGTATACTCGGTAGCGATAGAGAAAGGTATGAGGGTTAGAAGAGAGAGATCGAAGGGAAGGGATGTGCAGGCGGGCGAGGGGATTTTGTAGAGCAGTGTAAACCCCCAAGCGTGTGTCGTCGGTGACACACCCGGCCTCCGGGGGGAAGAGCTATCCAGGACGGGAGGGCGTGTGATTGAAGATGCGCGGACGGCGAGGGGGTGTGTTAGTAGCTTGGAGAAAGCCCGAAGTTCTGAAGGGACCGACCGACCAACCCAGGTAAGGTGTGAGAAGGCATACCATCCCAAGAAACCCTACGGCGCGGGCGGAGTCTTCTCCCACTCTACCTCCATCAAAACTTTCCAAACAACTGCCAGGACAGGACATGCCACTAAAAACACGATCAAACTATGACTCTAACGGATCTGTTTCGGCCTTCTTGGAGACGTATCTCCAGGAGGTTACGAGCGTAAATAGAAGCGCGGTATTATTCTAGGTACACAGAACAGAAAACTCTCGAGGCGGTTCCCTGCTAACGGCTGAGGAGTGGAACTTAAGCTCGGCCACGCTGAGTACTAACCTACTGGACCGCGGTACCTCGCCAACCTAAATTCTCTTATTACCTACCCATGGGCCATGCGTCTATGGCGTACAAGTGAAGTGCGGTCACTTTACCGCTGAATATGATTCCCGTTTTGTGTTGTGTTGTAGTGCATTCATCTAGCTCTCACGGATCTATGGAGACTTGGGAGACGCTGTTAATAACCGGCCCGGTCATGATGATACCACCAGCTGCAATATGCAATGGGGGCTACCACCAGCTGCAGAAATGGAAGAAGCAATGAGGGCAGAAGGCGGCTATATAAGCAAGAGCGGCAACGGCACCAGTATGGCGGGATGGATGTGCCTCGAAACGCTGGGTACAAGCATGAGATGAGCGTGGTGGTACGGCATGGCTTCAACAATAGATTTCATCGCGCCTCACCCGGGAACAGTCAAAATGGGAACAGGTCACACAAGCATGGGGGAGTATGGGGGTGTGTGATCAGCCAAGCACAAGTATTCATTCTTGCGTGGGTTATGATAGCGAAACAACATCTATTTGCGGCCTCTCCCTGAGGTAGCCATGGAGATACCTACTAACTCAACTCAGAGGAACGCCTATCAGATGGTCAAGTGTCATCCGGCTGGTAAAGTGCCGGTGCTTCGTAACGCGACGGTTGACAATACACGAACCGATATAATGGGTCATGACAACGACCTGTTTTCTCGGTCCTGTTTGCAACGAGCAGCGAGAAGTAAAAAAAAAAAAACCCGTAAGTTGACGCAACTCATTCCGCCGACACATCTTTGTTCAACCAAAGCCATTGGCCAATCAACGCTCTCTGATAGTGACTGGTCTCCCCTCCATGACTTGAGGGTATTATTTGGCTCGAGCTCGGGGCTTTATTTACTATCAGGTCTAGCTATCTGCCTATATCTCGATATTCATCTCTCGAGCTTTCACATAATCTCAACACCCGCCGATCATCGATCTCTGCCCTCGCGCACCTTGCCAGACTCAACCTCTCGGCAAAAGAAAAGTCTTGTCCTCAACAATCCGGCCTAAAGGTGCTTTGCGCTTCCTTGTGTTTCGTCCACGTACACCGACCAGCGCGCACCTTACCTCTAGGGGTTTTGATCCTAACCTCTAGAGGTTGCCGCACCGCAACCTTTCCTCTAGAGGTTTACATGTTCCACCCGCCTGATGTTGGCGTAGGAGCGAGCAATCTGCTCGCCTTGTCCATGGGTTGTCATGGATGCCATGGACCAAGGGAAGTCCAGTCAGAGGATCCACGTTGGTATCATACTGGGCCTTCCATAATGCCGAGGATGTTTGTCGGTTCTGAACGATGTGCAGCACCATCTGGTTAATTCACCCTGGATCCCTGCCCTGATGGCTGTAACAGCCAGAGCCGCAGAAGCCTCCCCTCTTGCTGCATCACATTTTCCGCCGTAACTTATCTCGGGATTGAAGTCATTGGTACCACAGCCGCTCTCTGTCCACCGTAACACCCACACCTTAACCAAAGAGATCTACTGACCCCCACCATTGATTGGACCCTGACTGCTTTTGTTGTCCAAGCTTGAATCTCAATCTGAAGCTTGTGCAATCCCCGAACATCATCATACCTACCAGGGCCACCAGGCTCGAGTACACAGATACATGTGGGGTATCACCGTGTCGCCATCCAAGGTGTTTCGAAGCATTTACCAGTACGCTACCCGCCGCTCGCCGTTTGACCTTGTCTTCTCTTTAGCCTGTATATGATATCAATTTTACATCAGTCATATCATTCTGCTATAAAAACCATGTTTCTACCCACGGTCACCCAATGGAAAGGTGATTGGGGAAAGTCGACAACCAGTTTGTCAGTTCACTTGTCGTGATAGGTCACATCGAGCTGCACAGACTTACAGGCCGTGAACCTCTGTCAACTACGAATGACGATCACGCCCTGGTGCTGTTACATATCCTCGTACGTACTTCGTTTGAAGAAAATGCCCCAGCCCACGTTTGGTCAATTTCTCCTCCGAGTCAATTTCCTGTCTGCATCATGTGTTTATTCCCACTAGATTCCACCCCCACGGAGGTCAAAGACCGGCGGCACCTTAGGTCAGTAGTTTTTAGATGAGATCGAACCAGCCAAAGCGCGCCTTATCCCAGCTACTTGGGGTTTATCAGCAACAAGGAATCGGCATCCATTCTGTAGAAAAGGCATATGCAATCCAGGCTCAAGTTGCAGTGTTTTTTATCTCGAACATTGAGAAGGTTTTCTAAGACGTATAAATACTCTTACCATGAAAGTTAATTTCGTTCAGGTACCTAGTCAACGATCCAAGGGTCTCTCCTCTCTTTCGTGCACTATCAAGTATGATGGCGGCATAGCCTGCCTAACCAATCTCTCGGTGGATGAAAACCGGCGCATTGCATTTGTTGACCAAAATGACGCTTTCATTGGTGCGCATTTGGCCACTCTTTGCTCAATACGTTGGATTTTGTGACACTATGCTGCCACTCTGCAGGACATGAGCCTCCACTGGCGATGAAAAATTACCTACTTACAAAATCTTTTCTTGTCAGACGGACAGATTCTATCATCCCCGGATTGGATATGACCTAGGTGCCAGGTGTGAATACTCAGCTGTTCACTACGCTACCAGGTAGGTGTAGAAAGCGAGCTAGGTCCGACCTCGGACTTCGGTGTACCCCTCCGCATAACTTGTTAAAGAAATGTTGGCAAAAGGTTGAAATTAAGTCGAGACGCAATTGGGGTAGGGCTGAGCAAAACCAAATAGGAAGGCATCCTCTACTCAAATTCAACCAACTGGCGCACGGCGTGTATCCAGAAAAATGGTTCACCGAAATGGTTGAAGCACTGGCGTTTTCCCCTCACAAATGCCGGGCTGGAACGGGCAGTTGGAGTCAAATCTGGAGCCTATGACAGTGGATTATCAACCTATTGATCTTTCCACTGGAGTACGGAGTAGGTAGGTATTACATAGCCATCATCTGAGGCTTCTTGGTGTCGCGACTCTATGGGACCAATTTACTCTTCGTTCAAGTGGCAGTAATGTAATAAAAAGAAAGAAAACAAATACATTTAGCTTGCCGATTGTTGCTCAATGCTGAGCAATGTCATTCAGTAAGAGACCTACTTCTAGAATCGAGCTCCGTCCTCACGACTCACACCCAGCTGTGAAACGCTGCAGACTATACAGATCATGTGGGATCCTCGTAAGGGACTCGAGATGATGCCATTCCATACCCGACAGGCGGTTAGCATAGGCAACACGCGGATGCGGTAATGGTTGGGTAATAACCGCAAGTGTTGCCGGCGTTGCAGGTCGTTCACCGAGGATCCCAAACTACAGAGAAAAGGCTAATCCCCACGTTCACGGACAGAAGCCGACCAGAACATCACCAGATCCGCCTGACAAAGGCTGGGGTAGACACGCTGACCTTGCATTTGCTGATCAATGGCAGCTAGTCAGTCTTCACCCCTGGTTTCCCTTTCACCTTGACCTTATTCCGTCACTTCGGGAACCTGGTGGGGGAAGGCCAGGCACAGGCACGAGAATAGTCGGGAACTTCTATGCAAGATTCGGGAACCAAGGGATCCACCCCCAGTTCAGATCTATGTTTGTATCTTAACTTCAAGGGAGCTACGTACCCTGCTCTCATGGACCTGTTTTCCCCAGAAACAAGGGTGCGTGCATTGTATCGTTGCTGAATTGAAACCACGCACATCTTGTTCCTCGAAATCTCCCTATGTCGAGACCGTAACAATGAAAGCGTCAAAAGTCTTGTTACATGAGTGCCTGTACGCACAAAATTACTACAAGAACGAAACACTAGCATGCAGTTGACATGCTAGAATGCGAAATATCATACCAATGTGTCATTTTCCATCGGGAGAAAAGCATCGGAAGCCCTCCCGGGGAATTCATTGTATCTCCGTTTTGCGGGGGGCACTCCTCATCATCACTTGCTCGTAGTATCTCGATGTGGCATTTGAAGGGTTGATTTCTTTGCTCTAACCATATTCATTGACCTCGGGGCCCCCGCAACAAGATCTTCTCGTAGCAACTCTTCAGGCAAGAGTGCTGCAAAGACCCCAACTCGGGGTGCGATTCTAGATGTTCGAGGGTACAATTTCTTGTAAAGTTACAACGTTATTGTGCGGTAGCTGTGTGCTGCCACTCTCCGAATCCCGAGGTACAACCCGGGGACACTCCTATTATGGACGGTATGCAGCCCGACACACCGATCCCTTCCAGTGACCGTCGGTCTGGCAACCTCTTTATTTGCTGACAGCATTCTGAACCTTCTCCGTGGCCTTCTCAACCTTTCCCTTGACAGCCTCGGCAGCGTGTGCCAGCTGCTCCTTGGGCATATTCTCCTTTCCGCCCCAGTAATGGTAGTTAAGATATCGGTACCCTTGGGTGAGCTGGGCACCAGCGTTGACAAAGTGGCAGGCAAATAGGAGGTAGTTCTTGGGTGTGACAGCCAGTGAGTATCGCATGAAAGTACCGGCGTAGATGATGAGAGCACCAGTCATCTGTCCCGAGATCCTAGTAGAAGGGAAAAGTCAGTTACGCTTAGTGACAATGCATTGTTGGTCTACCATACAATTCAGGGCTCTTCTGCGTGTCCATGATGGCCGCGAGAGGGATACCAAAGTTGGAGACAGGGCCCCAAAAGTCTGCAAATATCAAGAGTCAGTCGCAAATCTCGACACGCTGATTACCCCGAAGCTGCCGTGCTCCAAAACACGCATTGCACATCAGCACAACCTCCAGCAGCTCAATTGACATATTCCAGAGGAACAACATTTCCCCCCGGATCTTTTTTGATGTCTCAAATGTGCTTCTATATGTATTGTAGCCGCGGTGTTGCTTGTTGAGTTGCAATATCACAAAATTGCGCTTTCGGAGACGAATCGGAGCTCATGCAAAAAACATGACAGGATATTCGAAAGACGTACGGGTTGAGCAAACATAGTCAGTCACCGGGTTTGACCGGATCTTGGCGTTCGCAGCCTTGATTAGAGCAGCCATTTTAGAGGATTTGTATGGGCGACGTCTCGTGGAATTCGGAGATGGAGTGACCTGTCGTTGCGTTGAGGTTGACGGGCTGTCCCTCGCACTCAAATTCAACGCGCCAAACGGGAAATCTACGTTGAGGTCACGTGCATGGCCTATCTACATCTTACCTCAACCATTCCCGTTGTGTTACCACAATACCTAAACTCCTAACCCCGGGCAAAGGTAGGAGACCGCTGTTTTCTCGACATTATCTTCTCATTGTTTTTATGTGTGATGTTGGTGTAAGATCTAAATTCTACCCGGGGTGCGGAATTGTCATCGATACCGAGGCCGTTCCCTACAACTCACCGAAGGTCTGGGACTGAATGTTCATGGGGCCAAAACACACAAGAATGTACTCAAGGTGCTATAATAAGCTACTTAGAAGGCTGCAAAAGTTATGCTAAACCTGTCTTAGTATTTTTGTTTCTTGGGATACATGTCCATGGTTTTCCTCCTATCCCTGGTGAGGGTACTGCTGAAGCATGGGGACCTTCGGAGGTTGTCCGTCTGCAACAAGCAATTATTTCATGGTGAAGGGGCGTGTATCAAAGACGGCAGACGCCACACTACCGAGCCTAGCTCCTGACTTGTGAAGCTCGTGAGAAGCTATCCCGGGGGTTGGAGGCTGTCCCGAGCTCCTCTCCATATGGAGAATATGGAGCACCCGTACCCCAGACGGATATTGGGGGCTCAGAGCCTCAAAGGAAGCTGTCTCTGTGTACTTATGACGCTGTACGAATCATCACCAATTGGCTTCACGAGAACCATTGCTGTTACAGGTGATATGATGCTAAATATGGTTCTGATCTGGAAGACTTTCTCGTTGCTTTTGAACCATGTTCTCGGCTGAACGCCAATTCAAGCTAATTGTTCGGCCATCAAACTTTCAAGGTGACTACTTCTTTCAAGGATCTTTGATTCCTCAGCTGTCCTCAAATTGCAACAGTCGTGAGTGAGATGTTGTTTATGTCTAGGCCGGAAGTGGAGCCAACGGGCATCCGGAGCCGGTACCGACATCCCGGCCTCTCCCGAGATCTCATGTCAACGTGATCAATCTTGCGTCGCACTTCATGCCGGATCCATCCAACATGCTCCGTTCTGCCCTGTGCATATGTAAATTGGCTAACAAGTAACCGCCTGTGCTTCTGTTATGTGGAGAGATGTGCCGGGGATGTTAAACCCGAGGTGAGCCGCAACCATGTAAATCAACCGCTATGAGTGGATGAAGGGACATGGTTGTAAATAGGGAACCCTCTGCTTCAATAATAAGATCCGCAACCTATAATCAGTGTGGGTAAATTGATTATTATTATAATAATAATCCTAAGATCCAATAATCATCGATAGTTCACATGGGAGTATTCTAGTCCTGGCTATATTTCCTTGAAAATGTATACCGTAAGTCCACGATGGTATCAAGATATCCTCACTTCTATGTGCATCTGATAAGGTTTTGGGCACTTCAGTGGCTGAGAGGAAGATCTTCCTGGCAATATTTAAAATTCAGTCTTCTACACTGGAGGTTGAAGCTTCTGTGAATACTTGTTTTTCCCAGCACTTGCTTTGCGAGGAGCCTATAGTATCTTTCTTTGGGTTGCATCCATACTTTTCCAGCTCAGCTGGCTTGGTCCGGGGCATCGTAGATAAATGTTCACTGTAACTGATAATCGCCGTGCCTAGGTAAGTTACAACAGAACCTGTAGTCTAAAGTCCTAACTCTGCACTAGGTCTGTAACAAGCCTTTCTGTCACTTGGAATGACCCCTAAACTTTTCTTGCCTCGACTAGGATGGATACCTAGAGGAGGAAAGAGAATTCGGGGACCTTAATCCTAAAGTAATAAAAAGACTTAGGGAACTTAATACACGTTTAGGATAATTCAGGATACCTCTGCCTTTTATGGAATTTATTTCAACACATTATATTAACACCTTATATCAAAGCCTGATATTTTCCTACTTGCTGAGGGATGGTTACCCTGAAGCAAGCTCAATGGCAGATCATGGTTTCATGATGACAGATTGATTTTCACCGGACCATAAAAGACTCCCTTTGAACCACTGCTGCAAAGCAGCCAATATGTTAGTATGTATAATGTTCCCTGACAAACTTGACTCTCACAACGGCTCATATGTGGCGGTCACGGTTTGGAAGCCACATTACCTACCTAACCGGGCGCGACGTCTGGGGTTTCCAGGCAGAAACCAAAATTAGGCTGATATGTCAGCATCGGTGACTCTTTCTTTCTTTCCACAAAGGCACTACGTTCCTCGGATAGACTCAATTTTCTGGCTGCTGAGATTAAAAATGGGCAGATCTAAACCTCCAAAAGAGGTGGTTCCTGTTGGTGACTCATTCTGATGGATTACAAAACCAACCAATGATTGTCTATGTTTGTCAGAGTGGCTTCGCCACACGGAAGCATACAGGGCTCCACCGGTTTTCAACGCCTCCTAAGAATTTATTGCAAACAGCATAATATATCATAAGGCTTCTAGATTCCTTTCCTTTTTCTCCTGCTCCTCTAACTCTTGCTCCCGTGAAGAAGCAGTTGGAAATCTTTCCCATTTTCTCCTTGCAAGTTCTCCTCCGTCAGCAAGCTCTTTGCTTGAAGGTCATTGTTTTCCTATTCTTTATTCGTAGTTTGAAGACGCTTTATACTACATAGCGCAATATTTACAACAGCGACGACTTCTCAGCTCACGACTGTGATCTCCACCATCATGGCCGAGCAAGAGACCAGCCGTACATCTCATCAGGCACGAAATAATGCCCCAAACCGGTCTCAAAGTGAGGGCCAGGGTTCAGCATCGCGTTCCCGGGGAGGCTCAGGTGGAGGACGCCGTAGGGGAAGGGGAGGACGGAATCGTGGCCAGCGACAGGATGATTCAGCACAGGTTCCCGAAGGCCGCGGGAACGCCCCTCAGACAGGGCCTGCCGATGCCACTATTGCTGCACAAACCATAGCCGCCCCCGAAAGCTCGGGGTTTTCTAGAGGCAGAAGAAATTGGCGAGGTAATCGAGGCGGTTCTCGAGGGCAAGGAAACCAAGGTAGAGGCGTGTTCTCCATGGGACCGCAGCGCACTTTTGGCGGACGCTTGACTACAACCGACCAACCGACAGAGATTGCTCAGGATGCATCTTTGAGTGCAAACGCCCCAGAATTCGTGCCCGGACAGCCTGTATCCCAGAGGAGGTAGGACCGTAGACCCAAGGCAATGCACCATATACTGACAACTATAGTGCCCAACAGCATCCGTCAAGCACCCCTCAGCCCACAGGCCAAGGACGCTCAAGAAACCGTACGAGGAACCGTAACCAGGACAGACCCCGCCAAGAGGTTCCCAAGTCGACTGCCTCGGAATTATGGCAACGGATCCAGGAAGACATTGCCAATTGGAACTATGAGTGCCGTATCTGCACCGAAGAGGTTACTCGAAAAACCGAGGTCTGGTCGTGCACTACCTGCTGGACCGTTGTTCATCTTGAATGTGCCCACCAATGGTGGGATACGTCCATGAAAGTCAACGAGGAGAGCGGCGACAAATCTTGGCGTTGCCCAGGGTGTAATTCAACGTTGATAGAAGGACCAGGCGATAGTTCGTGTTGGTGTGGCAAAGAAACGCAGCCCAGTCGGAACAGCATTTTGCCTCCTCATTCATGTGGGCAAACATGTTCCAAGCCCAGATCGACATGCTCCCACCCATGCACTCTTCAATGTCATCCTGGCCCATGCCCTCCGTGCACCGTATTGAGCCCACCGGAGCCCTGTTACTGTGGAAAGCACTCCCAGCGAAAGAACTGTAGGGATACCGATTACTACAACGGGTGGAGTTGTCGAGAGCGTTGCGGCGATTTTCTACCTTGTGGTCAGCATGAATGTCCTCAAACATGCCATCCAGGTGTCTGCGGTACCTGCGAGGTGCCGGTCGAAGCCAAGTGCTATTGTGGACGAGTGCAAAAGGAGATGCTATGTTCCAAACAGGAAGACATACGCGATTCGTTCGATCTCGCCAGCAATTCCTGGTTTGAAGGCTCCTTTAGCTGCGAGAGTGCTTGCGGAAGAACCTTCGATTGTGGGGTACATCGTTGCCAGATTTCTTGTCACCCGCAAGAAGAGGTCTCGGCCCATTGCCCTTTCTCTCCGGACGTTGTCACCCATTGCCCTTGTGGCAAGACACCGCTCAAGGAACTCATGGATGAGCCCCGTCAAACCTGTGAAAATAATGTTCCTCACTGTGAGAGGATTTGCGAGAAGAAGCTGGAATGCGGTCATCTCTGCCAATCCTTGTGCCACACTGGGGAGTGCGACCCTTGCACCCAAACGATGGAGATTGACTGCCGCTGCGGCCGAGTCATGGGCGAGACGATTTGCCATGAGGGAAATGTCCAACATCCCCTATGTTTCAAGATATGCCAGGCTACTCGCAACTGCGGAAGGCATCGATGCGGAGAGCATTGTTGCCCGGGTGAAAAGAAGGCATCTCAGCGTATTGCTCAGCAGAAGAAGCAACGCCTGGGCCCTGATTTGCTACCAGTTGAGGCCGAGCATATCTGTGTCGCCGTCTGCGGACGTCCACTTAAGTGTGGCAGTCACTTTTGCGAGCAACTCTGCCACCGCGGAGCTTGCCAAAGCTGTCCCGAGGCTATCTGGGAAGAAGTTTCGTGCAATTGCGGCCAGACAGTCTTGCATCCGCCACAACCATGCGGAACGAGACAGCCATCTTGCACTAATCAGTGCCAGCGGCAGACTGCATGTGGGCATCCTTCTGTTGACCATCAGTGTCATCCTGATGATGTATCCTGCCCGCCGTGCACATACCTCGTTCAGAAGCGATGCATCTGTGGAAAGACGACCTTTCACAACAAGCCTTGTCATTTGCAAGAGGCTCATTGCGGAGAGCAATGCGGGCAAAAACTCTCCTGCGGGCTCCATACATGTAAAAAGCTATGTCACCGCCCCGGAGAATGCGGAGACGCTCAAAACGGTTGCGAACAAATATGCGGAAAGCCCAAGCTGCTATGTAATCATCCATGCCAGAGCGTCTGCCATGGGCAAACTCGTAAGTCGATAATACTCAGTTACAAGCTTGTTACTAACACACGTACCAGCCTGTAAAGAATCAACAGCTTGTCAGGTAAAGATGTCCACCAGCTGTGCATGTGGTAATCACAAGCAAAGTTTCAAGTGCCTAGCAAGTACGAGCAACCCTACTCCGAGCCGACCAGATATTCGATGTGATGAGGAGTGCGAGCGACTTGACCGTAACCGTCGCCTGGCCGCAGCTCTCAATATCGACCCTGCTTCTCACACCAACGACCACATTCCCTTCTCGGACAATACTCTAAAGCTCTATAAACAGATGCAATCATGGGGAGATGCTCAGGAGAGCCAATTCCGAGTCTTTGCTGCTAACAAAGATGAAGTTCGTTTACGATATGAGCCAATGAAGAACCAGTCACGCCAATTTCTTCACTTGCTCGCCGAGGACTTCGGCTTCGAGAGTAAGAGTGAGGATTACGACATTCACCGGTCTGTTCTAGTATGGAAATCAGATAAGTTTGTTTCAGCCCCGACGAAGACACTTGCACAATGTGTCAAGATCCGAGCAACCCAAGCTGCCGAAGCTGCGGCAGCGGCAGCCATTCGACCTCCAAGCCCACCAATCCTCGAGACTGAGCCCTTCAATGCTCTGGTACTTACAGAGCCTCGCTTCGGTCTGACCATCGAGGAAGTCAATGCCGCCCTCGAGCCGGATCTCACGTCCCTGCAAGGCTTCAGGTTCAAGGTTGATTTTCTGAATGAGGAAGTTCTTATCAAAGCTTCAGTATCATATTCCGCATTTCTCACACCCGCACCCATGGAGAAGAGCCTCGAAATTCTCAAACCTCGGATCGAGCAGACTATCCGTCGCGAAAAGCTCGCTGAAAGCGTCTTGCTCTGTCACTCAGATGCTAACGGTGCAATTTCTCGGCGAGAAGTAACCATCCGGGCCGGCACTGGAGGATGGAGTGCCGTAGCTGGACGTGCGGCTTCCAGACCAATGTCCTCGTCTTCTACTCCTGCACCCGAAGAGGCAAAGCCCGGACGCAAACTACTTCTAGGGCTTAAGAAGAAGAGGCCGCAACAGCCGGAGGGGGGAAAGGTGTGGGCCGCTCTTGATGGGGACGTTGAATGTTAGAGGCATCAGTGAGGGTCGTGCAAGGGCAGACAGGAAGGGCGTCCGGGTTCACTTACTTGTCGAAGTTGATCGCGGAGTACAAGCAATTCTATGACCTTTCTGGTCCATGACTGAGAACAAACTTGGTGTCAGATTCATCAAGTAACAAGACCATTATCTAGCAAGACACCCCTTAAGTTGTCAGAAGACGCAAGACTCCTGAATGAGGTGGTAAGAATCAACGTTAAAGAGTCCACTGAGATTGTCCTAAACTATCCTAAGATATTCTAAATCTGCCTACGTGTTTATGACTTAGTCTACCTAAGTATTTTTATCGTTTAGGATCATTATCCTAAGTCTTTGTTAACTCTCTCCAGTCAAGTAAACTTACAGTCGTTGTTGGCGTCATTGAGGACAAGTTGACGTAACAGGAATCGATGGCATTTGATAGAAGGATTTGTCACCTGCTAGCCAACTCAACTTTACGAAAGTGGATATTTGAGAGACCCGAGGAATGCAACGCAGACAGAAGCAGAACATTTCATCAGATTGCTGAGGTTATGACCATCGCCTTCACGATGCTTGATAAGTTTAGAAGCCAAACACTTAATGTAGGAGGTGTGGGTTCCCACTGAGAAGGGATATAGCATTGACCGGCTGAAGATATCGGTGGCTAGGCAGTTGACCAACGGACCCAAACATGCTGCATTAGACGGCTGTAGCACTCCTGTGTTGATGTGGCAAAGGTTTCATTGTCCAGACTTGCTTCAGCTTACACAAGAGACCGGAGGATGATTCACCAACACTAGTCGAGATAACAGACGTCTGCATAAAATAGCAATTCAAACTGGCATCTGTCGTGATCAAACTCAACGTAACTACTATGGAAATGGTGCTTTCTCTCATGTCCGCAACATAGCTATGAATACGATGAAACTGGCTGTAGAGGAGGTTGAAGCGGAGCAAGCATTAGCAGGAGAGCAGATTGGAACATCCCTACAAACTGAGAAGAGTATCGACAACATTCTACCTATTCAGCTTGGCTCATGTAGCAGGCCTTATCCACATCAGCATCAGTCATCTTTGCATCAATACATTTCTCCTCGGCACCTCTCGTCTGAGGACTGTGGTTCTCAGCATTATCCTGCTCAACACCCTCCATTTGATCGCCCTCATCAAATGCCACAGTCTTTCTTGTACCCTAGTTAGGGGAAGAAAGAAAACTCAGGAACTCGGTCCTAAATGACAAAAAGATTTAGGTAGTTTATTCTAAGTTTAGGATAAGTTTGGCATACCTTTAGTATACCTTGTAGGATACCTTTTATTGGGTTTCTTGTAACACCTTGTATCAAGGTCTAATATTTTCTTGCTCCCTGAGGGCATCCAAAGGATTGCATACATAGTTTAAGACATCGATGTAACACCAACTATTTATTTTTTCGTATCACGCGAACATCAAGTCAGGAGGGATCACGAGGCTCAAGATGCCCCCACCGAGGCCACCACAAGCACAAGCAAACAAACTCAAAATAGTTTATCAATGTCTCATCAATGCCAAGTTTCTTTTCTAGTTCGGGATTTGCGAGTCCACTATCTGCGAGCGTTGAACGTGTACGGAAATATGGACTAGCAAAGAAAGTGTACGCAGAGGTGTGGTAATACAAAAAGGAGGTGTCGTCAATCGTGAGTGTGATGCTGTATGCTGTCCGTGCGTTTTCCTTCCTTCACCAAGGCTATGCATGCATAATGGAATATTAAACGAGATATGCCCAGTCTCTACAAACGTGTCTTCTCTTGTGGTGTATCACCCGTTACCTCGGCGATGAAATCTGACATGGCTTCAAAATAACCTTCCTCCAGGACGCTTGAGTTATGATCACCACCTGGGAGAGGTTTCCACCGCTTGGTGGGTGCGGCGGAGAGGTCATACAGCTGTTTCATGTGTTTTGGCCTGGCATACATTAGCTTCGTATTCTGTGTTGCGCTATGCTACAGTAGAGAATGCAATGTCGATCATCAGGGAGTATTTGCTTTCATATCAAGACCACGAGGGTACTTCAACTTTTGTGGGTGATGCAAATTTAATCATCACAGGACTAGGGGTAGTAGTGTAAGAGAGGGTGTAGAGGAACTTACGGTACAATCTCATCCTGCAAGCCACTGATGAAGAGCGTAGGCACCTTTGTGATGTTGGGGAGAACCGACTCACTGGGCCAGACTTGGTGGCATAGCAGGGTAAGGTATTTGGCAGGGGGCACAACGGAAGGGATCAGCTTCCGGATGGAGAGGAAAGTGTTCTCTAAGATCAGACCAGCGATATCACCCGCTTCCTGGTTCTTGGAGACAAGCTTGATTGCGACAGCACCGCCCAGACTTTGACCGTAAACCATGAGCTTGTGATCGCGTGTCTCGGCCCGCTGCCGCAGATAGTTGAGCCCTGTCTGCGCGTCAACATTGAGACCCGACTCGTCAGGCTGGCCTGTTGAGGAACCGTAGCCTCTATACTCGAGCATAAAAACGTTGCAACCAATGTAGTTTATGATCATTCGAGCGATGGGTAACCGATGGCCGATGTTGCCAGCATTGCCATGGAACATCAAGATGGTGATGTTTGAGTTCTTGTGGCCGCGAGGGCCACGGATGTAGAAGGCTGAGAGCTTCTCGCCATCGTCGGTCGGGATGTAAAGTTCTTCGAAATTTGAGATGCCAAAGTCGGAAGGCTTGGGGACGTCTGAGCGAGAATTTGCGGGAATGTTACTCGGGTAAATGAGAGCCCTAATCATGCAGGGTTAGCGGGGCTCGGCTTGATGATGATGCGGGTCAGGCAAAGAAAGAGAAGGTTGGTAGTAGCTAGGAAGGGGAGATGGTGACGGAGGCGGTGATGGTGATGGTGATGGTGATGGTGTTGGGACACGGACTTCTGTTTAAAGTAAAGTAATGAGGTGAGGACGGCGGCGAGACCCTATTGTATGCGCATTGACGTTAGAAATGTCCCTAGGTAGACAGTTATGGATGGCTGCAGTCAAGACTATTTTGTCAGCCAAGCTGCAGTATAGTGGACGTACCGTTGAAGCCAACGCAGGCAGACGCATGTAGCTGGCGACCGAGCTCAATACCGAGACGGTCTGCTCGACGTAGCTGTTGGAGGTTTGAGATGTGGGAGAGTTGGAGCTGGACATGGTTGCTTTAGTCGGTTTGCTGGGCATTACAACAAGATGGCTGCAAATGCAATTGCAGCTGCTGGTGCAGTGCAGGTGAAGGTAGACCGTATATGTCTGTCTACCTATCAACCCAGACTGAGTTGGACTGTATGGGGAGATGGAACCCCCGACGGTGATTGACGGCGGAGACTGGAGACAGGCCGGAGACTGCAACAAGGGGCATATGGTATCGGTTCGTATAGATCGTAGGCGGTCGCGGACTGCGAGGGTCGAAAAGACGGTGACTGCCCCAAGAAAAGGTACTGGGTAATTGAAGCTGTCTGATGATAAGATGCTGAGTTTATCAAGGCCTTGCGCACCAAGATATTGGAAATACGGCTCGAGGTTTGCTGAGGGGGTAAAGGCAGGAAGGAAGAGGTGACACCGTGACAGGAGTTGCCAAACTAGACCTATACTTAATCACCGTAGGGAAAGTAATAAGGTAAGGTATAGTAGTTCAATATCGCGTGTGCCTCCTCGATCTCTAGACCTAAAAGCAACAAGCTGGATTGAATTTGTTGAAGATGCCCCTGGCGTCTGTCAAGGCGAAGCAAGAAAGCCTAGGTCCGCTTTCCTAGTACCTAAGAGCGACAAAAAGAATTAGGCAAGCCTAGTATAGACTTTGGTGGACCTTTGGACAAGTTATTCTTGACACATTGATCTAAGGCCAGAAGTTTTGTTGCTCCTTGGGGATTGTCTTCGGCGGCGATCCCACTTATGGAAGTACCACGCACGAGGATGACATGGGTCGAAAGACCTTCTTTGGGATGATACCGAGGTTGGCAAGAGACGCGGAAGCACAAATAGGATGGGACGATGCTTAAGTATGGTAGAACGATGTACAAAACCCCAAAAATATCCAAGGGAACAAAAGTCTGATAAGGAGTGGTATTTGATATTGGTCGAGGTAGGGTTAGAAAGGTGTCATGAGGAGAAATAGAAGGGAAGCCAAAATTCTAGAAGAAATGAAGATTAACTAGGTAGGTAAAGCGAATGACTGGGCCGAATCCTCAGGCTTTGAATCCAGCAACAGTTGTAATGCTTATTAGCTAGCACCTCAACAATAGATCTGCCTAGAAGTCATCATCCATGTCTAGACAGGAACCAATCCAGCCAATATCGATAACTTCGGGCTCTGGAGGTGAGATGGATATTCCGTGAAAGGTCGATGGTGGGGCACAGAGTGATCTCAGCTCGATGAGGTGGAGAGAAAGGTAAATGAAGATACTCCTCTCATGGGCGCAGCACAGGTAACGGTCAACGCTAATTTAGCGGAGGCTGTACCTCTGCGGCGGGCTACTTTCAGGTACCCGAAGCCTCCTGGCTTACGCTCACCAATGAAGCTGATACACGCGACGAAACAGACAGATCAGCAGAGACAAGGAGATCAAGGGGACGCTATAGTTATATGCCATCGCAGAGGTGCATGAAGAGATATATGAGTTTTAGTCAGCTGTCAAACGGTTTTCATCATCACAGCCTTCTGTTGTTCTCGTTAAAGATAAACCACATGACAACCAACCAAGGGTATGGATTTGGCGGTGGAAATGAGCTCAACGTACTCCGTACTCCGTAATCGACTTAACCATGCTAGGAAGCTTGCAGGAAGAAACGAGAGAGCTTCTAAGACCTTTGATGAGGGTGCGTAAAACAACTAAGCAAAGACCATCCTAAGTTTATCCTAAATGGTTATAAAAATGGTCTAAAAGGCCCTAAACTCGTCTGACTGTTTCTGTCATTCAGGATCGAGGTCCTCAGTCTGGTTACCAACATCCACCAATGATTCTGTACTTCGTAGGTAGCTGGTAGCTTAGGTTTGTC